CATGAAAAAAACTCCAACTTTTTTCACCAAAATCATGGACTATCCCTTTTGCAAAAATCTCAATTTTGCCTTCTTTTTTAAATCCATGTTTATATTGTCTAGAAAGGCTTGTTTTCTAACGAGAACGTCACCAAATACTTTTTCTGGGTTTATTTTGAATAACACGAAACGTTCAAAAATTTCCAATTTTGACCAAAACCATGGACTAACCCCTTTATAAAATGCTAATTTTGTGGTTTTTTGAAACCGATGTTTTCGTTGTTCAGAAAGGCTTGTTTGCTATATAAAAGTCGCAAAATCGTTTTTTCACCATTTACTGTCGCGATCTATGACATGGGAATACAGGGGGTTACTAGGGGGTTACAAGGGGTTACAGATGGTTACAAGGGGTTACAAGGGGTTACAGGGGTTACAAGGGGTGACAGGGGTTACAAGGGGTGACAGGGGGTGACAAGGATTATACAAACTTTTTTCTAACTAGAACGTTCCCAGATACTTTTTCTTGGTCTATTTTGCATAAAAATCAAAGTTGAAGAAATCTCAAAATTTTGACCAAAACAATGGACTAACCCTTTGCAAAAATTTGTCATTTTCCTTTTCATAAACAGTTGTTTTTATAGTCTTTAAAGATTTCTTTTTATCTAGAACGTCAGCAAACACTTTTTTCTCGATCTATTTTTGATAAACACAAAACATGAAAAAAAAAACTTCAACTTTTTTTCACCAAAATCATGGACTATCCCCTTTGAAAAAATCTCAATTTTGCCTTCTTTTTAAATCCATGTTTATATTGTCTAGAAAGGCTTGTTTTCTAACGAGAACGTCACCAAATACTTTTTCTGGGTTTATTTTGCATAACACAAAACGTTCAAAAAAATTTCCAATTTTTGACCAAAACCATGGACTAACCCCTTTGGAAAAATGCTAATTTTGCGAGTTTTTAAAACCGATGTTTTCGTTGTTCAGAAAACCTTGTTTGCTATATAAAACGTCGAAAATCGTTTTTTCACCATTTATTGTCGCGATCTATGACATTGGAATACAGGGGTTACAAAGGGTTACTAGGGGTTACAAGGGGGTTACAGGGGTTACAAGGGGTTACAAGGGGTTACAGGGGGTTACAAGGGGGTGACAGGGGTGACAAAGGGGTGACAGGGGTTACAAAGGATTATACAAACTTTTTCTAACTAGAACGTTCCCAGATACTTTTTCCTTGGTCTATTTTTTGCATAAAAATCAAAGTTGAAGAAATCTCAAAATTTTGACCAAAACAATGGACTAACCCTTTGCAAAATTCTCATTTTCCGTTTTTCATAAACAGTTGTTTTTATAGTCTATAAAGGCTTCTTTTTTTATCTAGAACGTCAGCAAACACTTTTTCTCGATCTATTTTTGATAAACACAAAATATGAAAAAACTTCAACTTTTTCACCAAAATCATGGACTATCCCCTTTGCAAAAATCTCAATTTGCCTTCTTTTTTAAATGCCATGTTTATATTGTCTAGAAAGGCTTGTTTTCTAACGAGAACGTCACCAAATACTTTTTCTGGGTTTATTTTGCATAACACGAAACGTTCAAAAAATTTCCAGTTTTTGACCAAAACCATGGACTAACCCCTTTTGAAAAATGCTAATTTTGTGGTTTTTTGAAACCGATGTTTTCGTTGTTCAGAAAGGCTTTTTTTGCTATATAAAACGTCGAAAATCGTTTTTTCACCATTTATTGTCGCGATCTATGACATCGGAATACAGGGGGTTATAAGGGGTTACTAGGGGTTACAAAGGGGTTACAGGGGTTACAACGGGTTACAAGGGGTTACAGGGGGGTTACAAAGGGTGACAGGGGGTGACAAGGGCACAGGGGTTACAAAGGATTATACAAACTTTTTCTAACTAGAACGTTCCCAGATACTTTTTCTTGGTCTATTTTGGATAAAAATCAAAGTTGAAGAAATTCAAAATTTTGACCAAAACAATGGACTAACCCTTTGCAAAAATTCTCATTTTCCGTTTTTCATAAACAGTTGTTTTATAGTCTTTAAAGGCTTCTTTTTATCTAGAACGTCAGCAAACACTTTTTCTCGATCTATTGTTGATAAACACAAAACATGAAAAAACTTCAACTTTTTCACCAAAATCATGGACTATCCCCTTTGCAAAAATCTCAATTTTGCCTTCTTTTTAAATCCATCTTTATATTGGCTAGAAAGGCTTGTTTTCTAACGAGAACGTCAGCAAATACTTTTTCTGGGTTTATTTTGCATAACACGAAACGTTCAAAAAATTTCCAATTTTTGACCAAAACCATGGACTAACCGCTTTGGAAAAATGCTAATTTTGCGAGTTTTTCAAACCGATGTTTTCGTTGTTCAGAAAGGCTTGTTTGCTATATAAAACGTCGAAAATCGTTTTTTCACCATTTATTGTCGCAATCTATGACATGGGAATACAGGGGGTTACCAAGGGTTACTAGGGGTTACAAGGGGTTACAGGGGGTTACAAGGGGTTACAATGGGTTACAGGGGGTTACAAGGGGTGGCAGGGGGTGACAAGGGCTGACAGGGGGTTACAAAGGATTATAAAAATTTTTTTCTAACTAGAAAGTTCCCAGATACTTTTTCTTGGTCTATTTTGCATAAAAATCAAAGTTGAAGAAATCTCAAAATTTTGACCAAAACAATGGACTAACCCCTTTGCAAAAATTCTCTTATTCCGTTTTTCATAAACAGTTGTTTTTATAGTCTATAAAGGCTTCTTTTTTATCTAGAACGTCAGCAAACACTTTTTCTCGATCTATTTTTGATAAACACAAAACATGAAAAAACCTCAACTTTTTCCCCAAAATCATGGACTATCCCCTTTGCAAAAATGTCAAATTTGCCTTCTTTTTAAAACCAAAATTATATTGTCTAGAAAGGTTTGTTTTCTAACGAGAACGTCACCAAATACTTTTTCTGGGTTTATTTTGCATAACACGAAACGTTCAAAAAATTTCCAATTTTTCACCAAAACCATGGACTAACCCCTTTGGAAAAATGCTAATTTTGCGAGTTTTTGAAACCGATGTTTTCGTTGTTCAGAAAGGCTTGTTTGCTATATAAAACGTCGAAAATCGTTTCTTCACTATTTATTGTCGCGATCTATGACATAGGAATACAGGGGCTTACAAGGGGTTACTAGGGGTTACAAGGGTTACAGGGGGTTACAAGGGGTGACAGGGGGTGACAAGGGGTGACAGGCGGTTACAAAGGATTATACAAACTTTTTCTAACTAGAACGTTCCCAGATACTTTTTCTTGGTCTATTTTGCATAAAAATCAAAGTTGAAGAAATCTCAAAATTTTGACCAAAACAATGGACTAACCACTTTGCAAAAATTCTCATTTTCCGTCTTTCATAAACAGTTGTTTTTATAGTCTTTAAACGTTTTTTTTTATCTAGAACGTCAGCAAACACTTTTTCTCGATCTATTGTTGATAAACACAAAACATGAAAAAACTTCAACTTTTTCACCAAAATCATGGACTATCCCCTTTGCAAAAATCTCAACTTTGACTTCTTTTTAAATGCATGTTTATATTGTCTAGAAAGGCTTGTTTTCTAACGAGAACGTCACCAAATACTTTTTCTGGGTTTATTTTGCATAACACGAAACGTTCAAAAAATTTCCAATTTTTGACCAAAACCATGGACTAACCCCTTTATAAAAATGCTAATTTTGTGGTTTTTGGAAACCGATGTTTTCGTTGTTCAGAAAGGCTTGTTTGCTACATAAAAAGTCGCAAATCGTTTTTTGACCATTTACTGTCGCGATCTATGACATAGGAATACAGGGGGTTACTAGGGGTTACAAGGGGTTACAGATGGTTACAAGGGGTTACAAGGGGTTACAGGGGGTTACAAGGGGTGACAGGGGGCGACAAGGGATTATACAAACTTTTTTCTAACTAAAACCTTCCCAGATACTTTTTCTTGGTCTATTTTGCATAAAAATCAAAGTTGAAGAATTCTCAAAATTTTGACCAAAACAATGGACTAACCACTTTGCAAAAATTCTCATTTTCCGTTTTTCATGAACAGTTGTTTTTATAGTCTTTAAAGGCTTCTTTTTTATCTACAACGTCAGCAAACACTTTTTCTCGATCTATTGTTAATAAACACAAAACATGAAAAAACTTCAACTTTTTCACCAAAATCATGGACTATCCCCTTTGCAAAAATCTCAATTTTGCCTTCTTTTTAAATCCATCTTTATATTGGCTAGAAAGGCTTGTTTTCTAACGAGAACGTCAGCAAATACTTTTTCTGGGTTTATTTTGCATAACACGAAACGTTCAAAAAATTTCCAATTTTTGACCAAAACCATGGACTAACCGCTTTGGAAAAATGCTAATTTTGCGAGTTTTTCAAACCGATGTTTTCGTTGTTCAGAAAGGCTTGTTTGCTATATAAAACGTCGAAAATCGTTTTTTCACCATTTATTGTCGCAATCTATGACATGGGAATACAGGGGGTTACCAAGGGTTACTAGGGGTTACAAGGGGTTACAGGGGGTTACAAGGGGTTACAATGGGTTACAGGGGGTTACAAGGGGTGACAGGGGGTGACAAGGGCTGACAGGGGGTTACAAAGGATTATAAAAATTTTTTTCTAACTAGAAAGTTCCCAGATACTTTTTCTTGGTCTATTTTGCATAAAAATCAAAGTTGAAGAATTCTCAAAATTTTGACCAAAACAATGGACTAACCCCTTTGCAAAAATTCTCTTATTCCGTTTTTCATAAACAGTTGTTTTTATAGTCTATAAAGGCTTCTTTTTTATCTAGAACGTCAGCAAACACTTTTTCTCGATCTATTTTTGATAAACACAAAACATGAAAAAACCTCAACTTTTTCCCCAAAATCATGGACTATCCCCTTTGCAAAAATGTCAAATTTGCCTTCTTTTTAAAACCAAAATTATATTGTCTAGAAAGGTTTGTTTTCTAACGAGAACGTCACCAAATACTTTTTCTGGGTTTATTTTGCATAACACGAAACGTTCAAAAAATTTCCAATTTTTCACCAAAACCATGGACTAACCCCTTTGGAAAAATGCTAATTTTGCGAGTTTTTGAAACCGATGTTTTCGTTGTTCAGAAAGGCTTGTTTGCTATATAAAACGTCGAAAATCGTTTCTTCACTATTTATTGTCGCGATCTATGACATAGGAATACAGGGGCTTACAAGGGGTTACTAGGGGTTACAAGGGTTACAGGGGGTTACAAGGGGTGCCAGGGGGTGACAAGGTCTGACAGGCGGTTACAAAGGATTATACAAACTTTTTTCTAACTAGAACGTTCCCAGATACTTTTTCTTGGTCTATTTTGCATAAAAATCAAAGTTGAAGAAATCTCAAAATTTTGACCAAAACAATGGACTAACCACTTTGCAAAAATTCTCATTTTTCGTCTTTCATAAACAGTTGTTTTTATAGTCTTTAAACGCTTCTTTTTTATCTAGAACGTCAGCAAACACTTTTTCTCGATCTATTGTTGATAAACACAAAACATGAAAAAACTTCAACTTTTTCACCAAAATCATGGACTATCCCCTTTGCAAAAATCTCAATTTTGCCTTCTTTTTAAATCCATGTTTACATTGTCTAGAAAGGCTTGTTTTCTAACGAGAACGTCACCAAATACTTTTTCTGGGTTTATTTTGAATAACACGAAACGTTCAAAAAATTTCCAATTTTTGACCAAAACCATGGACTAACCCCGTTATAAAAATGCTAATTTTGTGGTTTTTTGAAACCGATGTTTTCGTTGTTCAGAAAGGCTTGTTTGCTACATAAAAAGTCGCAAATCGTTTTTTCACCATTTACTGTCGCGATCTATGACATGGGAATACAGGGGGTTACTAGGGGTTACAAGGGGTTACAGATGGTTACAAGGGGTTACAAGGGGTTACAGGGGGTTACAAGGGGTGACAGGGGGTGACAAGGGATTATACAAACTTTTTTCTAACTAGAACGTTCCCAGATACTTTTTCTTGGTCTATTTTGCATAAAAATCAAAGTTGAAGAAATCTCAAAATTTTGACCAAAACAATGGACTACCCCTTGGCAAAAATTGTCATTTTCCCTTTTTCATAAACAGTTGTTTTTATAGTCTATAAAGATTTCTTTTTTATCTAGAACGTCAGCAAACACTTTTTCTCGATCTATTTTTGATAAACACGAAACATGAAAAAACTTCAACTTTTTCACCAAAATCATGGACTATCCCCTTTGAAAAAATCTCAATTTTGCCTTCTTTTTAAATCCATGTTTATATTGTCTAGAAAGGCTTGTTTTCTAACGAGAACGTCACCAAATACTTTTTCTGCGTTTATCTTGCATAACACAAAACGTTCAAAAAATTTCCAATTTTTTAACCAAAACCATAGACTAACCCCTTTCGAAAAATGCTAATTTTGCGAGTTTTTGAAACGGATGTTTTCGTTGTTCAGAAAGGCTTGTTTGCTATATAAAACGTCGAAAATCGTTTTTTCACCATTTATTGTCGCGATCTATGACATTGGAATACAGGGGGTTACAAGGGGTTACTAGGGGTTACAAGGGGTTACAGGGGGTTACAAGGGGTTACAAGGGGTTACAGGGCGTTACAAGGGGTGACAGGGGGTGACAAGGGGTGACAGGGGGTTACAAAGGATTATACAAACTTTTTTCTAAGTAGAACGTTCCCAGATACTTTTTCCTGGTCTATTTTTGCATAAAAATCAAAGTTGAAGAAATCTCAATATTTTGACCAAAACAATGGACTAACCCCTTTGCAAAACTTCTCATTTTCCGTTTTTCATAAACAGTTGTTTTTATAGTCTATAAAGGCTTCTTTTTTATCTAGAACGTCAGCAAACACTTTTTCTCGATCTATTTTTGATAAACACAAAACATGAAAAAACTTCAACTTTTTCACCAAAATCATGGACTATCCCCTTTGCAAAAATCTTAATTTTGCCTTCTTTTTAAATGCATGTTTATATTGTCTAAAAAGACTTGTTTTCTAACGAGAACGTCACCAAATACTTTTTCTGGGTTTATTTTGCATAACACGAAACGTTCAAAAAATTTCCAATTGTTGACCAAAACCATGGACTAACCCCTTTTGAAAAATGCTAACTTTGTGGTTTTTTGAAACCGATCTTTTCGTTGTTCAGAAAGAGTTTTTTGCTATATAAAACGTCGAAAATCGTTTCTTCACCATTTATTGTCGCGATCTATGACATCGGAATATCGGGGGTTATAAGGGGTTACTAGGGGTTACAAGGGGTTACATGGGGTTACAACGGGTTACAAGGGGTTACAGGGGGTTACAAAGGGTGACAGTGGGTGACAAGGCGACACAGGGGGTTACAAAGGATTATACAAAATTTTTCTAACTAGAACGTTCGCAGATACTTTTTCTTGGTGTATTTTGGATAAAAATAGAAGTTGAAGTTGAACAGTTGTTTTTATAGTCCATAAAGGCTTCTTTTTTTATCTAGAACGTCAGCCAATACTTTTTCGCCATCTATTTTTGATAAACACAAAACATGAAAAAACTTCAACTTTTTCACCAAAATCATGGACTATCCCCTTTGCAAAAACCTCAATTTTGCCTTCTTTTTAAATCCATCTTTATATTGGCTAGAAAGGCTTGTTTTCTAACGAGAACGTCAGCAAATACTTTTTCTGGGTTTATTTTGCATAACACGAAACGTTCAAAAAATTTCCAATTTTTGACCAAAACCATGGACTAACCGCTTTGGAAAAATGCTAATTTTGCGAGTTTTTCAAACCGATGTTTTCGTTGTTCAGAAAGGCTTGTTTGCTATATAAAACGTCGAAAATCGTTTTTTCACCATTTATTGTCGCAATCTATGACATGGGAATACAGGGGGTTACCAAGGGTTACTAGGGGTTACAAGGGGTTACAGGGGGTTACAAGGGGTTACAATGGGTTACAGGGGGTTACAAGGGGTGACAGGGGTGACAGGGGTGACAAGGGCTGACAGGGGGGGGGTTAAAGGATTATAAAAATTTTTTTCTAACTAGAAAGTTCCCAGATACTTTTTCTTGGTCTATTTTGCATAAAAATCAAAGTTGAAGAATTCTCAAAATTTTGACCAAAACAATGGACTAACCCCTTTGCAAAAATTCTCTTATCCCGTTTTTCATAAACAGTTGTTTTTATAGTCTATAAAGGCTTCTTTTTTTTTTCTCTAGAACGTCAGCAAACACTTTTTCTCGATCTATTTTTGATAAACACAAAACATGAAAAAAAACCTCAACTTTTTCCCCAAAATCATGGACTATCCCCTTGCAAAAATGTCAAATTTGCCTTCTTTTTAAAACCAAAATTATATTGTCTAGAAAGGTTTGTTTTCTAACGAGAACGTCACCAAATACTTTTTCTGGGTTTATTTTGCATAACACGAAACGTTCAAAAAATTTCCAATTTTTCACCAAAACCATGGACTAACCCCTTTGGAAAAATGCTAATTTTGCGAGTTTTTGAAACCGATGTTTTCGTTGTTCAGAAAGGCTTGTTTGCTATATAAAACGTCGAAAATCGTTTCTTCACTATTTATTGTCGCGATCTATGACATAGGAATACAGGGGCTTACAAGGGGTTACTAGGGGTTACAAGGGTTACAGGGGGTTACAAGGGGTGACAGGGGGTGACAAGGTGTGACAGGCGGTTACAAAGGATTATACAAACTTTTTTCTAACTAGAACGTTCCCAGATACTTTTTCTTGGTCTATTTTGCATAAAAATCAAAGTTGAAGAAATCTCAAAATTTTGACCAAAACAATGGACTAACCACTTTGCAAAAATTCTCATTTTCCGTCTTTCATAAACAGTTGTTTTTATAGTCTTTAAACGCTTCTTTTTTATCTAGAACGTCAGCAAACACTTTTTCTCGATCTATTGTTGATAAACACAAAACATGAAAAAACTTCAACTTTTTCACCAAAATCATGGACTATCCCCTTTGCAAAAATCTCAATTTTGACTTCTTTTTAAATGCATGTTTATATTGTCTAGAAAGGCTTGTTTTCTAACGAGAACGTCACCAAATACTTTTTCTGGGTTTATTTTGCATAACACGAAACGTTCAAAAAATTTCCAATTTTTGACCAAAACCATGGACTAACCCCTTTATAAAAATGCTAATTTTGTGGTTTTTTGAAACCGATGTTTTCGTTGTTCAGAAAGGCTTGTTTGCTACATAAAAAGTCGCAAATCGTTTTTTGACCATTTACTGTCGCGATCTATGACATAGGAATACAGGGGGTTACTAGGGGTTACAAGGGGTTACAGATGGTTACAAGGGGTTACAAGGGGTTACAGGGGGTTACAAGGGGTGACAGGGGGCGACAAGGGATTATACAAACTTTTTTCTAACTAAAACCTTCCCAGATACTTTTTCTTGGTCTATTTTGCATAAAAATCAAAGTTGAAGAATTCTCAAAATTTTGACCAAAACAATGGACTAACCACTTTGCAAAAATTCTCATTTTCCGTTTTTCATGAACAGTTGTTTTTATAGTCTTTAAAGGCTTCTTTTTTATCTACAACGTCAGCAAACACTTTTTCTCGATCTATTGTTAATAAACACAAAACATGAAAAAACTTCAACTTTTTCACCAAAATCATGGACTATCCCCTTTGCAAAAATCTCAATTTTGCCTTCTTTTTAAATCCATGTTTATATTGTCTAGAAAGGCTTGTTTTCTAACGAGAACGTCACCAAATACTTTTTCTGGGTTTATTTTGCATAACACGAAACGTTCAAAAAATTTCCAATTTTTGACCAAAACCATGGACTAACCCCTTTGGAAAAATGCTAATTTTGTGGTTTGTTGAAACCGATGTTTTCGTTGTTCAGAAAGGCTTGTTTGCTACATAAAAAGTCGCAAATCGTTTTTTCACCATTTATTGTCGCGATCTATGACATGGGAATACAGGGGGTTACTAGGGGTTACAAGGGGTTACAGGGGGTTACAAGGGGTTACAAGGGGTTACAGGGGGTTACAAGGGGTGACAGGGGGTGACAAGGGATTATACAAACTTTTTTCTAACTAGAACGTTCCCAGATACTTTTTCTTGGTCTATTTTGCATAAAAATCAAAGTTGAAGAATTCTCAAAATTTTGACCAAAACAATGGACTAACCCCTTTGCAAAAATTCTCATTTTCCGTTTTTCATAAACAGTTGTTTTTATAGTCTTTAAAGGCTTCTTTTTTATCTAGAACGTCAGCAAACACTTTTTCTCGATCTATTTTTGATAAACACAAAACATGAAAAAACCTCAACTTTTTCCCCCAAATCATGGACTATCCCCTTTGCAAAAATGTCAATTTTGCCTTCTTTTTAAAAGCATAATTATTTTGTCTAGAAAGGTTTGTTTTCTAACGAGAACGTCACCAAATACTTTTTCTGGGTTTATTTTGCATAACACGAAACGTTCAAAAAATTTCCAATTTTTGACCAAAACCATGGACTAACCCCTTTGGAAAAATGCTAATTTTGCGAGTTTTTCAAACCGATGTTTTCGTTGTTCAGAAAGGCTTGTTTGCTACATAAAAAGTCGCAAATCGTTTTTTCACCATTTATTGTCGCCATCTATGACATGGGAATACAGGGGGTTACTAGGGGTTACAAGGGGATACAGGGGGTTACAAGGGGTTACAAGGGGTTACAGGGGGTTACAAGGGGTGACAGGGGGCGACAAGGGATTATACAAACTTTTTTCTAACTAGAACGTTCCCAGATACTTTTTCTTGGTCTAATTTGCATAAAAATCAAAGTTGAAGAAATCTCAAAATTTTGACCAAAACGATGGACTAACCCCTTTGCAAAAATTCTCATTTTCCGTTTTTCATAAACAGTTGTTTTTATAGTCTATAAAGGCTTCTTTTTTATCTAGAACGTCAGCAAACACTTTTTCTCGATCTATTTTTGATAAACACAAAACATGAAAAAACTTCAACTTTTTCACCAAAATCATGGACTATCCCCTTTGCAAAAATCTCAATTTTGCCTTCTTTTTAAATCCATGTTTATATTGTCTAGAAAGGCTTGTTTTCTAACGAGAACGTCACCAAATACTTTTTCTGGGTTTATTTTGCATAACACGAAACGTTCAAAAAATTTCCAATTTTTGACCAAAACCATGGACTAACCCCTTTGGATAAATGCTAATTTTGTGGTTTTTTGAAACCGATGTTTTCGTCGTTCAGAAAGGCTTGTTTGCTATATAAAACGTCGAAAATCGTTTTTTCACCATTTATTTTCGCGATCTATCACATGGGAATACAGGGGGTTATAAGGGGTTACAAGGGGTTACAGGGGGTTACAAGGGGTTACAGGGGGTTACAAGGGGTGACAGGGGGTGACAAGGGGTGACAGGGGATTACAAAGGATTATACAAACTTTTTTCTAACTAGAACGTTCGCAGATACTTTTTCTTGGTCTATTTTCAATAAAAATCAAAGTTGAAGAAATCTCAAAATTTTGACCAAAACAATGGACTATCCCCTTTGCAAAAATCTCAATTTTGCCTTCATTTTAAATGCATGTTTATATTGTCTAGAAAAGCTTGTTTTCTAACGAGAACCTCACCAAATACTTTTTGTGGGTTTATTTTGCATAACACGAAACGTTCAAAAAATTTCCAATTTTTGACCAAAACCATGGACTAACCCCTTTGGAAAAATGCTAATTTTGTGGTTTTTTGACACCGATGTTTTCGTTGTTCAGAAAGGCTTGTTTGCTATACAAAACGTCGCAAATCGTTTTTTCACCATTTATTTTCGCGATCTATGACATGGGAATACAGGGGGTTACTAGGGGTTACAAGGGGTTACAAGGGGTTACAGGGGGTTACAAGGGGTTACAGGGGGTTACAAGGGGTGACAGGGGGTGAAAAGGGGTGACAGGGGGTTAAAAGGATTATACAAACTTTTTTCTAACTAGAACGTTCCCAGATACTTTTTCTTGGTCTATTTTGCATAAAAATCAAAGTTGAAGAAATCTCAAAATTTTGACCAAAACAATGGACTAACCCCTTTGCAAAAATTCTCTTTTTCCGTTTTTCATAAACAGTTGTTTTTATAGTCTTTAAAGGCTTCTTTTTTATCTAGAACGTCAGCAAACACTTTTTCTCGATCTATTTTTGATAAACACAAAACATGAAAAAACTTCAACTTTTTCACCAAAATCATGGACTATCCCCTTTGCAAAAATCTCAATTTTGCCTTCTTTTTAAATGCATGTTTATATTGTCTAGAAAGGCTTGTTTTCTAACGAGAACGTCACCAAATACTTTTTCTGGGTTTATTTTGCATAACACGAAACGTTCAAAAAATTTCCAATTTTTGACCAAAACCATGGACTAACCCCTTTGGAAAAATGCTAATTTTGTGGTTTTTTGAAACCGATGTTTTCGTTGTTCAGAAAGGCTTGTTTGCTATATAAAACGTCGAAAATCGTTTTTTCACCATTTATTTTCGCGATCTATGACATGGGAATACAGGGGTTAACTAGGGGTTTACAAGGGGTTACAAGGGGTTACAAGGGGTTACAAGGGGTTACAAAGGGGTTACAAGGGGTGACAAGGGTGACAGGGGGTGACAGGGGGTGACAGGGGGTTACAAAGGATTATACAAACTTTTTCTAACTAGAACGTTCCCAGATACTTTTTCTTGGTCTATTTTACATAAAAATCAGAGTTGAAGAAATCTCAATATTTTGACCAAAACAATGGACTAACCCCTTTGCAAAAATTCTCATTTTCTGTTTTTCATAAACAGCTGTTTTTCTAGTCTATAAAGGCCTCTTTTTTATCTAGAACGTCAGCAAGCACTTTTTCTCGATCTATTTTTGATAAACACAAAACATGAAAAAACTTCAACTTTTTCACCAAAATCATGGACTATCCCCTTTGCAAAAATCTCAATTTTGCCTTCTTTTTAAATGCATGTTTATATTGTCTAGAAAGGCTTGTTTTCTAACGAGAACGTCACCAAATACTTTTTCTGGGTTTATTTTGCATAACACGAAACGTTCAAAAAATTTCCAATTTTTGACCAAAACCATGGACTAACCCCTTTGGAAAAATGCTAATTTTGTGGTTTTTTGAAACCGATGTTTTCGTTGTTCAGAAAGGCTTGTTTGCTATATAGAACGTCGAAAATCGTTTTTTCACCATTTAATGTCGCGATCTATGACATGGGAATACAGGGGGTTACACGGGGATACTAGGGGTTACAAGGGGTTACAGGGGGTTTCAAGGGGTGACAGGGGGTGACAAGGGGTGACAGGGGGTTACAAAGGATTATACAAACTTTTTTCTAACTAGAACGTTCGCAGATAGTTTTTCTTGGTCTATTTTGCATACAAATCAAAGTTAAAGAATTCTCAAAATTTTGACCAAACCAATAAACTAACCGCTTTGCAAAAATTCTTATTTTCCGTTTTTCATAAACAGTTTTTTTTATAGTCTATAAAGGCTTCTTTTTTATCTAGAAAGTCAGCAAACACTTTTTCTCGATCTATTTTTGATAAACACAAAACATGAAAAAACTTCAACTTTTTCCCCACAATCATGGACTATCCCCTTTGCAAAAATCTCAATTTTCCCTGCTTTTTACATCCATGTTTATATTGTCTAGAAAGGTTTGTTTTCTAACGAGAACGTCACCAAATACTTTTTCTGGGTTTATTTTGCATAACACGAAACGTTCAAAAAATTTCCAATTTTTGACCAAAACCATGGACTAACCCCTTTGGAATAATGCTAATTTTGCAAGTTTTTCAAACCGATGTTTTCGTTGTTCAGAAAGGCTTGTTTCCTATATAAAACGTCGAAAATCGTTTTTTCACCATTTATTGTCGCGATCTATGACATGGGAATAGAGGGGGTTACAAGAGGTTACCAGGGGTTACAAGGGGTTACAAAGGATTATACAAACTTCTTTTCTAACTAGAACGTTCCCAGATACTTTTTCTTGGTCTATTTTGAATAAAAATCAAAGTTGAAGAAATCTCAAAATTTTGACCAAAACAATGGACTAACCCATTTGCGAAAATTCTCATTATCCGTTTTTCATAAATAGTTGTTTTTATAGTCTAGAAATACTTCTTTTTTATCTAGAACGTCAGCAAACACTTGTTCTCGAACTATTTTTGATAAACACAAAACATGAAAAAACTTCAACTTTTTCACCAACATCATGGACTATCCCTTTGGAAAAATCTCGATTTCGCCTTCTTTTTAAATCCATGTTTATATTGTCTAGAAAGGCTTGTTTTCTAACGAGAACGTCACCAAATACTTTTTCTGGGTTTATTTTGCATAACACGAAACGTTCAAAAAATTTCCAATTTTTGACCAAAACCATGGACTAACCCCTTTGGAAAAATGCTAATTTTGTGGTTTTTTGAAACCGATGTTTTCGTTGTTCAGAAAGGCTTGTTTGCTATATAAAACGTGGAAAATCGGTTTTTCACCATTTATTGTCGCGATCTATGACATGGGAATACAGGGGGTTACCAGGGGTTACTAGGGGTTACAAGGGGTTACAGGGGGTTACAAGGGGTTACAGGGGGTGACAAAGGATTATACAAACTTTTTTCTAACTAGAACGTTCCCAGATACTTTTTCTTGGTTTATTTTGCATAAAAATCAAAGTTGAAGAAATCTCAAAATTTTGACCAAAACAATGGACTAACCCCTTTGCAAAAATTCTCTTTTTCCGTTTTTCATAAACAGTTGTTTTTATAGTCTTTAAAGGCTTCTTTTTTATCTAGAACGTCAGCAAACACTTTTTCTCGATCTATTTTTGATAAACACAAAACATGAAAAAACTTCAACTTTTTCACCAAAATCATGGACTATCCCCTTTGCAAAAATCTCAATTTTGCCTTCTTTTTAAATCCATGTTTATATTGTCTAGAAAGGCTTGTTTTCTAACGAGAACGTCACCAAATACTTTTTCTGGGTTTATTTTGCATAACACGAAACGTTCAAAAAATTTCCAATTTTTGACCAAAACCATGGACTAACCCCTTTGTAAAAATGCTAATTTTGCGAGTTTTTGAAACCGATGTTTTCGTTGTTCAGAAAGGCTTGTTTGCTATATAAAACGTCGAAAATCGTTTTTTCACCATTTATTGTCGATATCTATGACATGGGAATACAGGAGGTTACCAGGGGTTACTAGGGCTTACAAGGGGTTACAGGGGGTTACAACGGGTTACAAGGGGTACAAGGGTTACAGGGGGTTACAAGGGGTGACAGGGGGTGACAAGGGGTGACAGGGGGTTACAAAGGATTATACAAACTTTTTTCTAACTAGAACGTTCCCAGATACTTTTTCTTGGTCTATTTTGCATAAAAATCAAAGTTGAAGAAATCTCAAAATTTTGACCAAACCAATGGACTAACCCCTTTGCAAAAATTCTCATTTTCCGTTTTTCATAAACAGTTGTTTTTATAGTCTAGAAAGGCTTCTTTTTTATCTAGAACGTCAGCAAACACTTTTTCTCGATCTATTTTTGATAAACACAAAACATGAAAAAACTTCAACTTTTTCCCCAAAATCATGGACTATGCCCTTTGCAAAAATGTCAATTTTGCCTTCTTTTTAAATCCATGTTTATATTGTCTAGAAAGGTTTTTTTTTCTAACGAGAACGTCACCAAATACTTTTTCTGGGTTTATTTTGCATAACACGAAACGTTCAAAAAATTTCCAATTTTTGACCAAAACCATGGACTAACCCCTTTGGAAAAATGCTAATTTTGCGAGTTTTTCAAACCGATGTTTTCGTTGTTCAGAAAGGCTTGTTTCCTATATAAAACGTCGAAAATCGTTTTTTCACCATTTATTGTCGCGATCTATGACATGGGAATACAGGGGGTTACCAGGGGTTACTAGGGGTTACAAGGGGTTACAGGGGTTACAAGGGGGTTACAAGGGGTTACAGGGGGTTACAAGGGGTGACAGGGGTGACAAGGGGCGGGGGGGGTTACAAAGGATTATACAAACTTTTTTTTTCTAACTAGAACGTTCCCAGATACTTTTTCTTGGTCTATTTTGCATAAAAATCAAAGTTGAAGAAATCTCAAAATTTTGACCAAAACAATGGACTAACCCCTTTGCAAAAATTCTCATTTTCGGTTTTTCATAAACAGTTGTTTTTATAGTCTATAAAGGCTTCTTTTTTATCTAGAAAGTCAGCAAACACTTTTTCTCGATCTATTTTTGATAAACACAAAACATGAAAAAACTTCAACTTTTTCCCCAAAATCATGGACTATCCCCTTTGCAAAAATGTCGATTTTGTCTTCTTTTTAAATCCATGTTGATATTGTCTAGAAAGGTTTTTTTTTTCTAACGAGAACGTCACCAAATACTTTTTCTGGGTTTATTTTGCATAACACGAAACGTTCAAAAAATTTCCAATTGTTGACCAAAACCATGGACTAACCCCTTTGGAAAAATGCTAACTTTGTGGTTTTTTGAAACCGATCTTTTCGTTGTTCAGAAAGAGTTTTTTGCTATATAAAACGTCGAAAATCGTTTCTTCACCATTTATTGTCGCGATCTATGACATCGGAATACAGGGGGTTATAAGGGGTTACTAGGGGTTACAAGGGGTTACAGAGGGTTACAAGGGGTTACAAGGGGTTACAGGGGGTTACAAGGGGTGACAGGGGGTGACAAGGGGACACAGGGGGTTACAAAGGATTATACAAACTTTTTTCTATCTAGAACGTTCGCAGATACTTTTTCTTGGTGTATTTTGGATAAAAATCAAAGTTGAAGAAATCTCAAAATTTTCACCAAACCAATGGACAAACCCCTTTGGAAAAATTCTCATTTTCCGTTTTTCATAAACAGTTTTTTTTATAGTCTATAAAAACTTCTTTTTTATATAGAACGTCAGCAAACACTTTTTATCGATCTATTTTTCATAAACACAAAACATGAAAAAACTTCAACTTTTTCACCAAAATCATGGACTATCCCCTTTGCAAAAATCTCAATTTTGCCTTCTTTTTAAATCCATGTTTATATTGTCTAGAAAGGCTTGTTTTCTAACGAGAACGTCACATAATACTTTTTCTGGGTTTATTTTGCATAACACGAAACGTTCAAAAAATTTCCAATTTTTGACCAAAAACATGGACTAACCCTTTTGAAAAATGCTAATTTTGTGGTTTTTGAAACCGATGTTTTCGTTGTTCAGAAAGAGTTGTTTGCTATATAAAACGTCGAAAATCGTTTTTTCACCATTTATTGTCGCGATCTATGACATTGGAATACAGGGGTTAAAAGGGGTTACTAGGGGTTACAAGGGGTTACAGGGGTTACAAGGGGTTACAAGGGGTTACAAGGGGTTACAGGGGTTACAAGGGGGACAGGGGTGACAAGGGGACACAGGGGTTACAAAGGATTATACAAACTTTTTTCTAACTAGAACGTTCCCAGATACTTTTTCTTGGGCTATTTTGCATAAAAATCAAAGTTGAAGAAATCTCAAAATTTTGACCAAAACAATGGACTAACCCCTTTGCAAAAATTCTCATTTTCCGTTTTTCATAAACAGTTGTTTTATAGTCTATAAAGGCTTCTTTTTTATCTAGAACGTCAGCAAACACTTTTTCTCGATCTATTTTTGATAAACACAAAACATGAAAAACTTCAACTTTTTCCCTAAAATCATGGACTATCCCCTTTGCAAAAATCTCAATTTTGCCTTCTTTTTAAATCCATGTTTATATTGTCTAGAAAGGCTTGTTTTCTAACGAGAACGTCACCAAATACTTTTTCTGGGTTTATTTTGCATAACACGAAACGTTCAAAAAATTTCCAATTTTTGACCAAAACCATGGACTAACCCCTTTGGAAAAATGCTAATTTTGCGGGTTTTTGAAACCGCTGTTTTCGTTGTTCAGAAGGACTTGTGTGGTATATAAAACGTCGAAAATCGTTTTTTCACCATTTATTGTCAAGATCTATGACATGGGAATACAGGGGGTTACAATGGGCGAAAGGGAGTAACAAGGGGTGACAGGGGGTTACAAAGGATTATACAAACTTTTTTCTAACTAGAACGTTCGCAGATACTTTTTCTTGGTGTATGTTGGATAAAAAACAAAGTTGAAGAAATCTCAAAATTTTGACCAAAACAATGGACTAACCAGTTTGCAAAAATTCTCATTTCCCGTTTTTCATGAACAGTTGTTTTTATAGTCTTTAAAGGCTTCTTTTTTATCTAGAACGTCACCAAACACTTTTTCTGGATCTCTTTTTGATAAACACAAAAGATGAAGAAAGTTCCACTTTTTCACCAAAATCATGGACTATCCCCTTTGCAAAAATCTCAATTTTGCCTTCTTTTTAAATCCATGTTTATATTGTCTAGAAAGGCTTGTTTTCTAACGAGAACGTCACCAAATACTTTTTCTGGGTTTATTTTGCATAACACGAAACGTTCAAAAAATTTCCAATTTTTCACGAAAACCATGGACTAACCCCTTTGGAAAAATGCTAATTTTGTGGTTTTTTGAATCCGATGTTTTCGTCGTTCAGAAAGACTTGTTTGCTTTATAAAACGTCGAACTCGTTTTTTTACCATTAATTTTTGCGATCTATGACATGGGAATACAGGGGGTTACCAGGGGTTACTAGGGGTTAGAAGGGGTTACAGGGGGTTACAAGGGGTTACAAGAGGTTACAGGGGATTACAAGGGGTGAGAGGGGCTGACAAGGGCTGACAGGGGGTTACAAAGGATTACACAAACTTTTTTCTAACTAGAACGTTCCCAGATACTTTATCTTTGTCTATTTTGGATAAAAATCAAAGTTGAAGAAATCTCAAAATTTTGACCCAAACAATGGACTAACCCCTTTGCAAAAATTCTCATTTTCCGTTTTTCATAAACAGTTGTTTTTGTAGTCTATAAAGACTTCTTTTACATCTAGAACGTCAGCAAACACTTTTTCTCGATCTACTTTTGATAAACACAAAACATGAAAAAGCTTCAACTTCTTCACCAAAATCATGGACTATCCCCTTTGCAAAAATCTCAATTTTGCCTTCTTTTTAAATCCATGTTTATATTGTGTAGAAAGGCTTGTTTTCTAACGAGAACGTCACCAAATACTTTTTCTGGGTTTATTTTGCATAACACGAAACGTTCAAAAAATTTCCAATTTTTCACGAAAACCATGGACTAACCCCTTTGGAAAAATGCTAATTTTGTGGTTTTTTGAAACCGATGTTTCCGTTGTTCAGAAAGGCTTGTTTGCTATATAAAACGTCGAAAATCGTTTTTTCACCATTTATTTCCGCGATCTACGACATGGGAATACAGGGGATTACAAGGGGTTACTAGGAGTTACAAGGGGTTACAGGGGGTTACAAGGGGTTACAGGGGGTTACAACGGGTGACAGGGGGTGAAAGAGGTGACTAGGGATGAAAGAGGTGACAGGGGGTTAAAAAGGATTATACAAACTTTTTTCTAACTAGAACGTTCCCAGATACTTTTTCTTGGTCTATTTTGCATAAAAATCAAAGTTGAAGAAATCTCAATATTTTGACCAAAACAATGGACTAACCCCTTTGGACAAATTCTCATTTTCCGTTTTTCATAAACAGTTGTTTTTATAGTCTAGAAAGGGTTCTTTTTTATCTAGAACGTCAGCAAACACTTTTTCTCGATCTATTTTTGATAAACACAAAATATGAAAAAACTTCAACTTTTTAACCAAAATCATGGACTATCCCCTTTGCAAAAATCTCAATTTTGCCTTCTTTTTAAATGCATGTTTATATTGTCTAGAAAGGCTTGTTTTCTAACGAGAACGTCACCAAATACTTTTTCTGGGTTTATTTTGCATAACACGAAACGTTCAAAAAATTTCCAGTTTTTGACCAAAACCATGGACTAACCCCTTTCGAAAAATGCTAATATTGTGGTTTTTTTGAAACCGATGTTTTCGTTGTTCAGAAAGGCTTTTTTTCTATATAAAACGTCGCAAATCGTTTTTTCACCATTTATTTTCGCGATCTATGACATGGGAATACAGGGGGTTACACGGGATTACCAGGGGTTGTAAGGGGTTACAAGGGGTTACAGGGGGTTACAAGGGGTGACAGGGGGTGACAAGGGATTATACAAACTTTTTTCTAACTAGAACGTTCCCAGATACTTTTTCGTGGTCTATTTTGCATAAAAATCAAAGTTGAAGAATTCTCAAAATTTTGACCAAAACGATGGACTAACCCCTTTGCAAATATTCTCATTTTCCGTTTTTCATAAACAGTTGTTTTTATAGTCTATAAAGGCTTCTTTTTTATCTAAAACGTCAGCAAACACTTTTTCTCGATCTATTTTTGATAAAAACAAAACATGAAAAAACTTCAACTTTTTCCCCAACATCATGAACTATCCCGTTTGCAAAAATTTTATTTTCCCTTCTTTTTAAATCCATGTTTATATTGTCTAGAAAGGTTTGTTTTCTAACAAGAACGTCACCAAGTACTTTTTCTGGGTTTATTTTGCATAACACGAAACGTTCAAAAAATTTCCAATTGTTGACCAAAACCATGGACTAACCCCTTTTGAAAAATGCTAACTTTGTGGTTTTTTGAAACCGATCTTTTCGTTGTTCAGAAAGAGTTTTTTGCTATATAAAACGTCGAAAATCGTTTCTTCACCATTTATTGTAGCGATCTATGACATCGGAATATCGGGGGTTATAAGGGGTTACTAGGGGTTACAACGGGTTACAAGGGGTTACAGGGGGTTACAAAGGGTGACAGGGGGTGACAAGGGGACACAGGGGGTTACAAAGGATTATACAAACTTTTTTCTAACTAGAACGTTCGCAGATACTTTTTCTTGGTGTATTTTGGATAAAAATCAAAGTTGAAGAAATCTCAAAATTTTGACCAAACCAATGGACAAACCCCTTTGGAAAAATTCTCATTTTCCGTTTTTCATAAACAGTTGTTTTTATAGTCTATAAAGGCTTCTTTTTTATCTAGAATGTCAGCAAACACTTTTTCTCCATCTATTTTTGATAAACACAAAACATGAAAAAACTTCAACTTTTTCACCAAAATCATGGACTATCCCCTTTGCAAAAATCTCAATTTTGCCTTCTTTTTAAATCCACCTTTATATTGGCTAGAAAGGCTTGTTTTCTAACGAGAACGTCACCAAATACTTTTTCTGGGTTTATTTTGCATAACACGAAACGTTCAAAAAATTTCCAATTTTTGACCAAAACCATGGACTAACCCCTTTGGAAAAATGCTAATTTTGTGGTTTTTTTGAAACCGATGTTTTCGTTGTTCAGAAAGGCTTGTTTGCTATATAAAACGTCAAAAATCGCTTTTTCACCATTTATTTTCGCGATCTATGACATCGGAATACCGGGGGGTTACAAGGAGTTACTAGGGGTTACAAGGGGTTACAAGGGGTTACAAGGGGTTACAGGGGGTTAGAAGGGGTCACAGGGGGTGACAAGGGGTGACAGGGGGTTACAAAGGATTATACAAACTTTTTCTAACTAGAACGTTCCCACATACGTTTTCTTGGTCTATTTTACATAAAAATCAGAGTTGAAGAAATCTCAATATTTTGACCAAAACAATGGACTATCCCCTTTGCAAAAATCTCAAATTTGGCTGGTTTTTAAATGCATGTTTAGATTGTCTAGAAAGGCTTGTTTTCTATTGAGAACTTCACCAAATACTTTTTCTGGGTTTATGTTGCATAACACGAAACGTTAACAAAATTTCCAATTTTATACCAAAATCATGGACTAACCCCTTTGGAAAAATGCCAATTTTGCGAGTTTTTGAAACCGATGTTTTCGTTGTTCAGAAAGGCTTGTTTGCTATATAAAACGTCGAAAATCGTTTTCTCACCATTTAATGTCGCGATCTATGACATTGGAATAGAGGGGCTTACAAAAGGTTACTAGGGGTTACAAGGGGTTACAGGGGGTTACAAGGGGTTACAAGGGGTTACAGGGGGTTACAAGTGGTAACAGGGGGTGACAAGGAGTGACAGGGGGTTACAAAGGATTATACAAACTTTTTTCTAAGTAGAACGTTCCCAGATACTTTTTCTTGGTCTATTTTTGCATAAAGGTCAAAGTTGAAGAAATCTCACAATTTTGACCAAAACAATGGACTAATGGACTGGAAAAATGCTAATTTTTTGGTTTTTTGAAACCGATGTTTTCGTTGTTCAGAAAGGCTTGTTTGCTACATAAATCGTCGAAAATCGTTTTTTCACCATTTATTTTCGCGATCTATGACATAAGAATACAGGGGGTTACCAGGGGTTACTAGGGGTTACAAGTGGTTAAAGGGGGTTACAAGGGGTTACAGGGGGTTACAAGGGGTGACAAGGAGTGACAAGGGGTGACAGGGGGTTACAAAGGATTATACAAACTTTTTTCTACCTAGATCGTTCCCAGATCCTTTTATTTGGTCTATTTTGCATAAAAATCAAAGTTGAAGAAATCTCAAAATTTTGACCAAAACGATGGACTAACCCCTTTGCAAAAAAATCTAATTTTTGCGTTTTTCATAAACAGTTGTTTTTATAGTCTTTAAAGGCTTCTTTTTTATCTTGAACGTCAGCAAACACTATTTCTCGATCTATTTTTGATAAACACAAAGAAGATGAAAAAACTTCAACTTTTTGACCAAAATCATCGACTATCCCCTTTTTCAAAAAGCCCAATTTTGCCTTCTTTTTAAATACATGTTTATATTGTCTAGAAAAGCTTGTTTTCTAACGAGAACGTCACCAAATACTTTTTCTGGCTGTATTTTGCATAAAAAAAAACGTTAAAAAAATTTCAACTTTTTGCCCAAAACCATGGACTAACCCCTTTGGAAAAATGCCAATTTTGTGGGTTTTTGAAACCGATGTTTTCGTTGTTCAGAAAGGCTTGTTTGCTATATAAAACGTCGAAAATCGTTTTTTTACAATTTATTTTCACGATCTATGACATGGGAATACAGAGGGTTACAAGGGGTTACAAGGGGTTACAGGGGGTTACAAGAGGTTACAGGGGGTTACATGGGGTTACAAGGGGTGACACGGGGTGACAAGGGGTGACAGGGGGTTACAAGGGGTGACAGGGGGTTACAAAGGATTATACAAACTTCTTTCTAACTAGAACGTTCCCAGATACTTTTTCTTGGTCTATTTTGCATAAAAATCAAAGTTGAAGAAATCTCAAAATTTTGACCAAAACAATGGACTACCCCTTGGCAAAAATTGTCATTTTCCCTTTTTCATAAACAGTTGTTTTTATAGTCTATAAAGATTTCTTTTTTATCTAGAACGTCAGCAAACACTTTTTCTCGATCTATTTTTGATAAACACGAAACATGAAAAAACTTCAACTTTTTCACCAAAATCATGGACTATCCCCTTTGCAAAAATCTCAATTTTGCCTTCTTTTTAAATCCATGTTTATATTGTCTAGAAAGGCTTGTTTTCTAACGAGAACGTCAGCAAATACTTTTTCTGGGCTTATTTTGCATAACACGAAACGTTCAAAAAATTTCCAATTTTTGACCAAAAACATGGACTAACCCCTTTCGAAAAATGCTAATTTTGCGAGTTTTTGAAACCGATGTTTTCGTTGTTCAGAAAGGCTTGTTTGCTATATAAAACGTCGAAAATCGTTTTTTCACCATTTATTGTCGCGATCTATGACATTGGAATACAGGGGGTTACAAGGGGTTACTAGGGGTTACAAGGGGTTACAGGGGGTTACAAGGGGTTACAAGGGGTTACAAGGGGTGACAGGGGTTACAAGGGGTGACAGGGGGTTACAAGGGGTGACAGGGGGTTACAAAGGATTATACAAACTTTTTTCTAACTAGAACGTTCCCACATACTCTTTCCTGGTCTATTTTTGCATAAAAATCAAAGTTGAAGAAATCTCAATATTTTGACCAAAACAATGGACTAACCCCTTTGCAAAACTTCTCATTTTCCGTTTTTCATAAACAGTTGTTTTTATAGTCTATAAAGGCTACTTTTTTATCTAGAACGTCAGCAAACACTTTTTCTCGATCTATTTTTGATAAACACAAAACATGAAAAAACTTCAACTTTTTCACGAAAATCATGGACTATCCCCTTTGCAAAAATCTCAATTTTGCCTTCTTTTTAAATGCATGTTTACATTGTCTAAAAAGGATTATTTTCTAACGAGAACGTCACCAAATACTTTTTCGGGGTTTATTTCGCATAACACGACACGTTCAAAAAATTTCCAATTTTTGACCAACACCATGGACTAACCCCTTTGGAAAAATGCTAATTTTGCGGGTTTCTGAAACCGCTGTTTTCGTTGTTCAAAAGGACTTGTGTGGTATATAAAACGTCGAAAATCGTTTTTTCACCATTTATTGTCAAGATCTATGACATGGGAATACAGGGGGTTACAAGGGGCGAAAGGGGGTGACAAGGGGTGACAGGGGGTTACAAAGGATTATACAAACTTTTTTCTAACTACAACGTTCCCAGATACTTTTTCTTGGTCTATTTTTCATAAAAATCAAAGTTGAAGAAATCTCAAAAGTTTGACCAAAACGATGGACGAACCCTTTTGCAAAAATTCTCATTTTCCGCTTTTCATGAACAGTTGTTTTTATAGTCTTTAAAGGCTTCTTTTTTATCTAGAACGTCACCAAACACTTTTTCTGGATCTCTTTTTGATAAACACACAAGATGAAGAAAGTTCCACTTTTTCACCAAAATCATGGACTATTCCCTTTGCAAAAATCTCAATTTTGCCTTCTTTTTAAATCCATGTTTATATTGTCTAGAAAGGCTTGTTTTCTAACGAGAACGTCACCAAATACTTTTTCTGGGTTTATTTTGCATAACACGAAACGTTCAAAAAATTTCCAATTTTTCACGAAAACCATGGACTAACCCCTTTGGAAAAATGCTAATTTTGTGGTTTTTTGAATCCGATGTTTTCGTCGTTCAGAAAGGCTTGTTTGCTTTATAAAACGTCGAACTCGTTTTTTAACCATTAATTTTCGCGATCTATGACATGGGAATACAGGGGGTTACCAGGGGTTACTAGGGGTTACAAGGGGTTACAGGGGGTTACAAGGGGTTACAGGGGATTACAAGGGGTGAGAGGGGCTGACAAGGGCTTACAGGGGGTTACAAAGGATTACACAAACTTTTCTCTAACTAGAACGTTCCCAGATACTTTATCTTGGTCTATTTTGAATAAAAATCAAAGTTCAAGAAATCTCAAAATTTTGACCCAAACAATGGACTAACTCCTTTGCAAAAATTCTCATTTTCCGTTTTTCATAAACAGTTGTTTTTGTAGTCTATAAAGACTTCTTTTTCATCTAGAACGTCAGCAAACACTTTTTCTCGATCTACTTTTGATAAACACAAAACATGAAAAAGCTTCAACTTCTTCACCAAAATCATGGACTATCCCCTTTGCAAAAATCTCAATTTTGCCTTCTTTTTAAATCCATGTTTATATTGTCTAGAAAGGCTTGTTTTGCTAATTTTGTGGTTTTTTGAAACCGATGTTTCCGTTGTTCAGAAAGGCTTGTTTGCTATATAAAACGTCGAAAATCGTTTTTTCACCATTTATTTTCGCGATCTACGACATGGGAATACAGGGGATTACAAGGGGTTACTAGGAGTTACAAGGGGTTACAAGGGGTTACAAGGGGTTACAGGGGGTTACAAGGGGTGACAGGGGGTGAAAGAGGTGACAGGGGATGAAAGAGGTGACAGGGGGTTAAAAAGGATTATACAAACTTTTTTCTAACTAGAACGTTCCCAGATACTTTTTCTTGGTCTATTTTGCATAAAATCAAAGTTGAAGAAATCTCAAAATTTTGACCAAAACAATGGACTAACCCCTTTGGACAAATTCTCATTTTCCGTTTTTCATAAAAAGTTGTTTTTATAGTCTAGAAAGGGTTCTTTTTTATCTAGAACGTCAGCAAACACTTTTTCTTGATCTATTTTTGATAAACACAAAATATGAAAAAACTTAAACTTTTTCACCAAAATCATGGACTATCCCCTTTGCAAAAATCTCAATTTTGCCTTCTTTTTAAATGCATGTTTATATTGTCTAGAAAGGCTTGTTTTCTAACGAGAACGTCACCAAATACTTTTCTGGGTTTATTTTGGATAACACAAAACGTTCAAAAAATTTCCATTTATTTTCGCGATCTATCACATGGGAATACAGGGGGTTACAAGGGGTTACTAGGGGTTACAAGGGGTTACAGGGGGTTACAAGGGGTTACAGGGGGTTACAAGGGATAACAGGGGGTTACAAAGGATTATACAAACTTTTTTCTAACTAGAACGTTCGCATATACTTTTTCTTGGTCTATTTTTCATAAAAATCAAAGTTGAAGAATTCTCAATATTTTGACCAAACCAATGGACTAACCGCTTTGCAAAAATTCTCATTTTCGGTTTCTCATAAACAGTTGTTTTTATAGTCTTTAAACGCTTCTTTTTTATCTAGAACGTCAGCAAACACTTTTTCTCAATCTATTTTTGATAAACACAAAATATGAAAAAACTCCAACTTTTTCACCAAAATCATGGACTATCCCCTTTGCAAAAATCTCAATTTTGCCTTCTTTTTAAATGCATGTTTATATTGTCTAGAAAGGCTTGTTTTCTAACGAGAACGTCACCAAATACTTTTTCTGGGTTTATTTTGCATAACACGAAACGTTCAAAAAATTTCCAATTTTTGACCAAAACCATGGACTAACCCCATTGGAAAAATGCTAAGTTTGTGGTTTTTTGAAACCGATGTTTTCGTTCTTCAGAATTGCTTGTTTGCTATATAAAACGTCCAAAATCGTTTTTTCACAATTTATTTTCGCGATCTATGACATGGGAATACAGGGGGTTACAAGGGGTTACTAGGGGGTACAAGGGGTTACAGGGGGTTACAAGGGGTTACAGGGGGTTACAAGGGGTGACAGGGGGTGACAAGGAATGACAGGGGGTTACAAAGGATTATACAAACTTTTTTCCAACTACAACGATCGCAGATACTTTTTCTTGGTCTATTTTGCATAAAAATCAAAGTAAAAGAATTCTCAAAATTTTGACCAAACCAATGGACTAACCCCTTTGCAAAACTTCTCATTTTCGGTTTTTCATAAACAGTTGTTTTTATAGTCTTTAAAGGCTTCTTTTTTATGTAGAATGTCAGCAAACACTTTTTCTCGATCTATTTTTGATAGAAAAAAAACATGAAAAAACTTCAACTTTTTCACCAAAATCATGGACTATAACCTTTGCAAAAATCTCAATTTTGCCTTCTTTTTAAATGCATGTTTATATTGTCTAGAAAGGCTTGTTTTCTAACGAGAACGTCACCAAATACTTTTTCTGGGTTTATTTTGCATAACACGAAACGTTCAAAAAATTTCCAATTTTTGACCAAAACCATGGACTAACCCCTTTCGAAAAATGCTAATTTTGCGAGTTTTTGAAACCGATGTTTTCGTTGTTCAGAAAGGCTTGTTTGCTATATAAAACGTCGAAAATCGTTTTTTCACCATTTATTGTCGCGATCTATGACATGGGAATACAGGGGGTTACAAGAGGTTACTAGGGGTTACAAGGGGTTACAGGGGGTTACAAGGGGTGACAGGGGGTGACAAGGGGTGACAGGGGGTTACAAAGGATTATACAAACTTTTTTCTAACTAGAACGTTCCCAGATACTTTTTCTTGGTCTATTTTGCATAAAAATCAAAGTTGAAGAATTCTCAAAATTTTGACCAAAACAATGGACTAACCCCTTTGCAAAAATTCTCATTTTCCGTTTTTCATGAACAGTTGTTTTTATAGTCTTTAAAGGCTTCTTTTTTATCTAGAACGTCAGCAAACACTTTTTCTCGATCTATTGTTGATAAACACAAAACATGAAAAAACTTCAACTTTTTTACCAAAATCATGGACTATCCCCTGTGCAAAAATCTCAATTTTGACTTCGTTTTAAATGCATGTTTATATTGTCTAGAAAGGCTTGTTTTCTAACGAGAACGTCACCAAATACTTTTTCTGGGTTTATTTTGCATAACACGAAACGTTCAAAAAATTTCCAATTTTTGACCAAAACCATGGACTACCCCTTTGGAAAAATGCTAATTTTGTGGTTTTTTGAAACCGATGTTATTGTTGTTCAGAAAGGCTTGTTTGCTACATAAAAAGTCGCAAATAGTTTTTTCACCATTTATTGTCGCGATCTATGACATGGGAATACAGGGGGTTACTAGGGGTTACTAGGGGTTACAGGGGGTTACAAGGGGTTACAAGGGGTTACAGGGGGTTACAAGGGGTGACAGGGGGTGACAAGGGATTATACAAACTTTTTTCTAACTAGAACGTTCCCAGATACTTTTTCTTGGTCTATTTTGCATAAAAATCAAAGTTGAAGAAATCTCAAAATTTTGACCAAAACAATGGACTAACCCCTTTGCAAAAATTCTCATTTTCCCTTTTTCATAAACAGTTGTTTTTATAGTCTATAAAGGCTTCTTTTTTATCTAGAACGTAAGCAAACACTTTTTCTCGGTCTATGTTTGATAAACACAAAATATGAAAAAAACTTCAACTTTTTCACCAAAATCATTGACTATGCCCTTTGCAAAAATGTCAATTTTGCCTTCTTTTTAAATCCACGTTTATATTGTCTAGAAAAGTTATTTTTTTCTAACGAGAACGTCACCAAATACTTTTTCTGGGTTTATTTTGCATAACACGAAACGTTCAAAAAATTTCCAATTTTTGACCAAAACCATGGACTAACCCCTTTGGAAAAATGCTAATTTTGTGTTTTTTTTAAACCGATGTTTTCGTCGTTCAGAAAGGCTTGTTTGCTATATAAAACGTGGAAAATCGTTTTTTCACCATTTATTTTCGCGATCTATGACATGGGAATACAGGAACTTACAACGGGCTACTAGGGGTTACAAGGGGTTAGAGGGGGTTACAAGGGGTTACATGGGGTTACAAGGGGTGACAGGGGGTGACAAGGGCTGACAGGGGGTTACAAAGGATTATACAAACTTTTTTCTAACTAGAACGTTCCCAGATACTTTTTCTTGGTCTATTTTGCATAAAAATCAAAGTTGAAGAAATCTCAAAATTTTGATCAAAACAATGGACTAACCCCTTTGCAAAAATTCTCATTTTCCGTTTTTCATAAACAGTTGTTTTTATAGTCTATAAAGACTTCTTTTTTATCTAGAACGTCAGCAAACACTTTTTGTCGATCTATTTTTGATAAACACAAAACATGAAAAAACTTCAACTTTTTCACGAAAATCATGGACTATCCCCTTTGCAAAAATCTCAATTTTGCCTTCTTTTTAAATCCATGTTTATATTGTCTAGAAAGGCTTGTTTTCTAACGAGAACGTCACCAAATACTTTTTCTGGGTTTATTTTCCATAACACAAAACGTTGAAAAAAATTTCCAATTTTTGACCAAAACCATGGACTAACCCCTTTGGAAAAATGCTAATTTTGTGGTTTTTTGAAACCGATGTTTTCGTTGTTCAGAAAGACTTGTTTGCTATATAAAACGTCCAAAATCGTTTTTTCACCATTTATTGTCGCGATCTATGACATGGGAATATAGGGGGTTAAAAGGGGTTACTAGGGGTTAGAAGGGGTTACACGGGGTTACAAGGGGTTACAGGGGCTTACAAGGGGTGACAGGGGGTTAAAAGGGGTGACAGGGGATAACAAAGGATTATACAAACTTTTTACTAACTAAAACGTTCCCAGATACTTTTTCGTGGTCTATTTTTCATAAAAATCAAAGTTGAAGAAATCTCAAAATTTTGACCAAAACGATGGACTAACCCCTTTGCAAAAATTCTCATTTTCCCTTTTCCATAAACAGTTGTTTTTATAGTCTTTAAAGGCTTCTTTTTTATCTAGAACGCCAGCAAACACTTTTTCTCGATCTATTCTTGATAAACACAAAAGATGAAGAAACTTCAACTTTTTCACCATAATCATGGACTATCCCCTTTGCAAAAATCTCAATTTTGCGTTCTTTTTAAATCCATGTTTATATTGTCTAGAAAGGCTTGTTTTCTAACGAGAACGTCACCAAATGCTTTTTCTGGGTTTATTTTGCATAACACAAAACGTTGAAAAAAATTTCCAATTTTTGACCAAAACCATGGACTAACCCCTTTGGAAAAATGCTAATTTTGTGGTTTTTTGAAACCGATGTTTTCGTTGTTCAGAAAGACTTGTTTGCTATATAAAACGTCCAAAATCGTTTTTTCACCATTTATTGTCGCGATCTATGACATGGGAATATAGGGGGTTAAAAGGGGTTACTAGGGGTTAGAAGGGGTTAGAAGGGGTTACAAGGGGTTACAGGGGCTTACAAGGGGTGACAGGGGGTTACAAGGGGTGACAGGGGATAACAAAGGATTATACAAACTTTTTACTAACTAGAACGTTCCCAGATACTTTTTCTTGGTCTATTTTTCATAAAAATCAAAGTTGAAGAAATCTCAAAATTTTGACCAAAACAATGGACTAACCACTTTGCAAAAATTCTCATTTTCCGTTTTTCATAAACAGTTGTTTTTATAGTCTTTAAAGGCTTCTTTTTTATCTAGAACGTCAGCAAACACTTTTTCTCGATCTATTCTTGATAAACACAAAACATGAAAAAACTTCAACTTTTTCACCAAAATCATGGACTATCCCCTTTGCAAAAATCTCAATTTTGCCTTCTTTTTAAATCCATATTTATACTGTCTAGAAAGGCTTGTTTTCTAACGAGAACGTTACCAAATACTTTTTCTGGGTTTATTTTGCATAACACGAAACGTTCAAAAAATTTCCAATTTTTGACCAAAACCATGGACTAACCCCTTTGGATAAATGCAAATTTTGTGGGTTTTTAAAACCGACGTTTTCCTTGTTTAGAAAGGCTTGTTTGGTATATAAAACGTCGAAAATCGTTTTTTCACCATTTATTGTCGATATCTATGACATGGGAATACAGGAGGTTACCTGGGGTTCCTAGGGGTTACAAGGGGTTACAGGGGGTTACAAGGGGTTACAAGGGGTTACAGAGGGTTACAAGGGGTGACATGGGGTGACAAGGGGTGACAGGGGGTTACAAAAAATTATACAAACTTTTTTCTAACTAGAACGTTCCCAGATCCTTTTTTTTGGTCTATTTTGCATAAATATCGAGGTTGAAGAAATCTCAAAATTTTGACCAAAACGATGGACTAACCCCTTTTGCAAAAAATCTAATTTGGATTTTTCATAAACAGTTGTTTTTATAGTCTTTAAAGGCTTCTTTTTTATCTAGAACGTCAGCAAACACTTTTTCTCGCTCTATTTTTTATAAAAAAACAAAAGATGAAAAAACTTCAACTTTTTGACCAAAATCATGGATTATATCCCCTTTGCAAAAATGTCAATTTTGCCTTCTTTTTAAATCCATGTTTACATTATCTAGAAAGGCTTGTTTTCTAACGAGAAAGTCACCAAATACTTTTTCTGGGTTTATTTTGCATAACACGAAACGTTCAAAAAATTTCCAATTTTTGACCAAAACCATGGACTAACCCCTTTGGAAAAAGGCTAATTTTCCGGGTTTTTAAAACCGACGTTTTCGTTGTTCAGAAGGACTTGTGTGGTATATAAAACGTCGAAAATCGTTTTTTCACCATTTATTGTCGCGATCTATGACATGGGAATACAGGGGGTTACAAGGGGTTACAAGGGGTTACAGGGGGTTACAAGGGGTTACAAGGGGTTACAGGGGGTTACAGGGAGTTACAAGGGGTTACAGGGGGTTACAAGGGGTTACAGGGGGTTACAAGGGGTGACAGGGGGTGACAAGGGGTGACAGGGGGTTAGAAAGGATGATACAAACTTTTTTCTAACTAGAACGTTCCCAGATACTTTTTCTTGGTCTATTTTCCATAAAAATCAAAGTTGAAGAAATCTCAATATTTTGACCAAAACAATGGACTAACCCCTTTGCAATAATTCTCATTTTCCGTTTTTCATAAACAGTTGTTTTTATAGTCTATAAAGGCTTCTTTTTTATCTAGAACGCCAGCAAACACTTTTTGTCGATCTATTTTTGATAAACACAAAACATGAAAAAACTTCAACTTTTTCACCAAAATTATGGACTATCCCCTTGGCAAAAATCTCAATTTTGCCTTCTTTTTAAATCCTTGTTTATATTGTCTAGAAAGGCTTGTTTTCTAACGAGAACGTCACCAAATACTTTTTCTGGGTTTATTTTGCATAACACGATGTGTTCAAAAAATTTCCAATTTTTGACCAAAACCATGGACTAACCCCTTTGGAAAAATGCTAATTTTGTGGTTTTTTGAAACCGATGTTTTCGTTGTTCAGAAAGGCTTGTTTGCTATCTAAAACGTCGAAAATCGTTTTTTCACCATTTATTGTCGCGATCTATGACATGGGAATACAGGGGGTTACAAGGGGTTACTAGGAATTACAAGGGGTTACAGGGGGTTACAAGGGGTTACAGGGGGTTATAACGGGTGAAAGGGGGTGACAAGGGGTGACAGGGCGTTACAAAGGATTATACAAACTTTTTTCTAACTAGAACGTTCCCAGATCCTTTTTTGGTCTATTTTGCATAAAAATTAAAGTTGAAGAAATCTCAAAATTTTGACCAAAACGATGGACTAACCCCTTTTGCAAAAAATCTAATTTTGTGTTTTTCATAAACAGTTGTTTTTATAGTCTTTAAAGGCTTCTTTTTTATCTAGAACGTCAGCAAACACTTTTTCTCGCTCTATTTTTTATAAAAAAACAAAATATGAAAAAACTTCAACTTTTTGACCAAAATCATGGCCTATATCCCCTTTGCAAAAATGTCAATTTTGCCTTCGTTTTAAATCCATGTTTACACTGTCTAGAAAGGCTTTTTTTCTAACGAGAACGTCACCAAATACTTTTTCTGGGTTTATTTTGCATAACACGAAACGTTCAAAAAATTTCCAATTTTTGACCAAAACCATGGACTAACCCCTTTCGAAAAATGCTAATTTTGTGGTTTTTTAAAACCGATGTTTTCGTTGTTCAGAAAGGCTTCTTTGCTATATAGAACGTCGAAAATCGCTTTTTCACCATTTATTTGCGCGATCTATTACATCGGAATACAGGGGTTTACAAGGGGTTACTAGGGGTTACAGGGGGTTACAAGAGGTTACAAGGGGTTACAGGGGGTTACAAGGGGTGACACGTGGTGAGAAGGGGTGACAGGGGGTTACAAAGGATTATACAAACTTTTTTTAACTAGAACGTTCCCAGATACTTTTTCTTGGTCTATTTTGCATAAAAATCAAAGTTGAAGAAATCTCAATATTTTGACCAAAACAATGGACTAACCCTTTGCAAAAATTGTCATTTTCCGTTTTTCATAAACAGTTGTTTTTATAGTCTATAAAGGCTTCTTTTTTATCTAGAACGTCAGCAAACACTTTTTCTCGATCTATTTTTGATAAACACAAAACATGAAAAAACTTCAACTTTTTCCCCACAATCATGGACTATCCCCTTTGCAAAAATCTCAATTTTGCCTTCTTTTTAAATCCATGTTTATATTGTCTAGAAAGGCTTGTTTTCTAACGAGAACGTCACCAAATAATTTTTCTGCGTTTATTTTGCATAACACGAAACGTTCAAAAAATTTCCAATTTTTGACCAAAACCATGGACTAACCCCTTTGGATAAATGCTAATTTTGTGGTTTTTTGAAACCGATATTTCGTTGTTCAGAAAGGTTTGTTTGCTATATAAAACGTCGAAAATCGCTTTTTCACCATTTATTGTCGCGATCTATGACATGGGAATACAGGGGGTTACAAGGGGTTACTAGGGGTTACAAGGGGTTACAGGGGGTTACAAGGGGTTACAGGGGGTTACAAGGGGTGACAGGGGGTGACAAGGGGTGACAGGGGGTTACTTAACAATTATTCCACGAGGGCGCGTTGGATATGAGATGATAGATAGCCAACGAGGCGCATAGCGCCGAGTTGGCTATAATCATTTCATATCCAACAAGCCCGAGTGGAATAATTGTTTTATTAAAAACGCCCACAAAATCTCGTTGAATTGCCCCGACTAGAACAAACCGGAAAAGACAAGGGACTTCCGCTATTGACATGTCACACGTCTATCAAAACTGTCAACGCGCGAACGGACTCGCCTAGACTGCATGAATGAAAAATCAAAACATTGTAGGGATGAACATTACTTTTTTAAAATCTCATCGTGATTCTAGGATTTTACACAGCAGAACAGCTTAAAAAACCTGGCAGATAATGTGAAGGAAAGGAATTTTTAAGTGACAGCCGTCGAAATTACTATGAATTTGGATTTTCGGTGCAGTTATAAAAGTGAGAACAACGGAGAAAAACTACCGGTATTACCTCGGTCGCTTGTTATGAAGTTGTTTGAAGCCACAAGCTGGTTTTGCTGAACGAGAAAAGAAGCTATACTGCCGCCTCGATTGCTCTAGTTAATGGCTGCATAGCCTGTATTTGTAGCTGGTTACTTGTGATTTACATTCTTGATGTCGGATAAACAAGCTGCAGTTATCTATCGGCGAGTGACTTGATCGGCAAATGGCTTCGCGATCATGAAGAAACAACACTTGTCTTCTTTCGTAGCTGGTCAAGGTACTTTAGTTCCATGTGTTTTCATGTGTTTTTCGACAAACTTTCAGACAAGCTCTTGTGGCTTTTTTGTTTGTTTTTGTCTTTTTTCTTGCGCTGAAATTGCATTTCTAGTATTCTAAGAAATGAATTAAAACGATTTGCTTCGGGCGCCGTTCTATCCTTCGCGAAAAAAAAATCTCAGCTAGCTTCCAATTTTAAACTGACGCGTACACCGACCATATATGGAGAACATGGTATATTAGCTCATATACCATAACGGCTAAGCCAATCAAAATGCTAGAATTGCATTATCCAATGATTCAGTTTTTAATAAAAAGGATTATACAAACCTTTTTCTAACTAGAACGTTCCCAGATACTTTTTCTTGGTCTATTTTGCATAAAAATCAAAGTTGAAGAAATCTCAAAATTTTGACCAAAACAATGGACTAACCCCTTTGCAAAAATTCTCATTTTCCGTTTTTCATAAACAGTTGTTTTTATAGTCTATAAAGGCTTCTTTTTTATCTAGAACGTCAGCAAACACTTTTTCTCGATCTATTTTTGATAAACACAAAACATGAAAAAACTTCAACTTTTTCACCAAAATCATGGACTATCCCCTTTGCAAAAATCTCAATTTTGCCTTCTTTTTAAATCCATGTTTATATTGTTTAGAAAGGCTTGTTTTCTAACGACAACGTCACCAAATACTTTTTGTGGGTTTATTTTGCATAACACGAAACGTTCAAAAATTTTTCAATTTTTGACCACAACCATGGACTAACCCCTTTAAAAAAATGCTAATTTTCTGGTTTTTTGAAACCGATGTTTTCGTTGTTCAAAAAGGCTTGTTTGCTATATAAAACGTCGAAAATCGTTTTTTCACCATTTATTTTCGCGATCTATGACATGTGAGTACAGGGGGTTACAACGGATTACTAGGGGTTACAAGGAGTTACAGGGGGTTACAAGGGGTTACAAGGGGTTACAGGGGGTTACAAGGGGTGACAGGGGGTGACAAGGGGTGACAGGGGGTTACAAAGGATTATACGAACTTTTTTCTAACTAGAACGTTCCCAGATACTTTTTCTTGGTCTATTTTGCATAAAAATCAAAGTTGAAGAAATCTCAATATCTGGACCAAAACAATGGACTAACCCCTTTGCAAAAATTCTCATTTTCGGTTTTTCATAAACAGTTGTTTTTATAGTCTATAAAGGCTTCTTTTTTATCTAGAACGTCAGCAAACACTTTTTCTCAATCTATTTTTTATAAACACAAAACATGAAAAAACTTCAACTTTTTCACCAAAATCTTGGACTATCCCGTGTGCAAAAATGTCAATTTTGCCATCTTTTTAAATGCATGTTTATATTGTCTAGAAAGGCTTGCTTTCTAACGAGAACGTCACCAAATACGTTTTCTGGGTTTATTTTGCATAACACGAAACGTTCAAAAAATTTCCAATTTTTGACCAAAACCATGGACTAACCCCTTTGGAAAAATGCTAATTTTGTGGTTTTTTAAAACCGATGTTTTCGTTGTTCAGAAAGGCTTGTTTGCTATATAAAACGTCGAAAATCGTTTTTTCACCATTTATTTTCGCGATCTATGACATGGGAATACAGGGGGTTACAAGGGGTTACTAGGGGTTACAAGGGGTTACAGGGGGTTACAAGGGGTTACAACGGGTTACAGGGGGTTACAAGGGGTGACAGGGGGTAACAAGGGGTGACAGGGGGTTACAAATGATTATACAAACTTTTTTCTAACTAGAACGTTCCCAGATACTTTTTCTTGGTCTATTTTGCATAAAAATCAAAGTTGAAGAAATCTCAAAATTTTGACCAAGACAGTGGACTAACCACTTTGCAAAAATTCTCATTTTCTGTTTTTCATAAACAGTTGTTTTTATAGTCTAGAAATGCTTCTTTTTTATCTAGAACGTCAGCAAACACTTTTTCTCGATCTATTTTTGATAAACACAAAACATGAAAAAATCATGGACTATCCCCTTTGCAGAAATGTCAATTTTGCCTTCTTTTTAAATGCATGTTTATATTGTCTAGAAAGGCTTGTTTTCTAACGAGAACGTCACCAAATACTTTTTCTGGGTTAATTTTGCATAACACGAAACGTTCACAAAAAATTTCCAATTTTTGACCAAAACCATGGACTAACCCTTTTCTAAAAATGCTAATTTTGTGCGTTTTTGAAACCGATGTTTTTGTTGTTCAGAAAGGCTTGTTTGCTATATAAAACGTCGAAAATCGTTTATGCACCATTTATTTTCGCGATCTATGACATGGGAATACAGGGGTTACAGGGGGTTACAAGGGCTTACAAGGGGTTACAGGGGTTTACAAGGGGTGACAGGGGGTGAGAAGGGGTGACATGGGGTTACAAAGGATTATACACAAAACATGAAAAAACTTCAACTTTTTCACCAAAATCATGGACTATCCCCTTTGCAAAAATCTCAATTTTGCCTTCTTTTTAAATCCATGTTTATATTGTCTAGAAAGGCTTGTTTTCTAACGAGAACGTCACCAAATACTTTTTCTGGGTTTATTTTGGATAACACGAAACGTTAACAAAATTTCCAATTTTTGACCAAAACCATGGACTAACCCCTTTGGAAAAATGCTAATTTTGTGGGTTTTTGAAACCGATGGTTTGGTTGTTCAGAAAGGCTTTTTTGCTATATAAAACGTCGAAAATCGTTTAATCACTTTTTTTTTTTTCGCGATATATGACATGGGAATACAGGGGGTTACAAGGGGTTACAAGGGGTTACAGGGGGTTACAAGGGGTGACAGTGGGTGACAAGGGGTGACAAGGGGTTACAAAGGATTATACAAACTTTTTACTAACTAAAACGTTCCCAGATACTTTTCCTTGGTCTATTTTGCACAAAAATCAAAGTTGAAGAAATTTCAAATTTTTGACCAAAACGATGGACTAACCCCTTTTCAAAAATTCTCATTTTCCGTTTTTCATAAACAGTTGTTTTTATAGTCTCTGAAGCTTTCTTTTTTATCTAGAACGTCAGCAAACACTTTTTCTCGATCTATTTTTGATAAACACAAAAGTTGAAAAAACTTCAACTTTTTCATTAAAATCATGGACTATCCGCTTTCCAAAAATGTCAATTTTGCCTTCTTTTTAAATGCATGTTTATATTGTCTAGAAAGGCTTGTTTTCTAACGAGAACGTCACCAAATACTTTTTCTGCGTTTATTTTGCATAACACGAAACGTTCAAAAAATTTCCAATTTTTGACCAAAACCATGGACTAACCCCTTTGGAAAAATGCTAATTTTGTGGGTTTTTGAAACCGATGTTTTCGTTGTTCAGAAAGGCTTGTTTGCTATATAAGAGCGGATGTCAGTAAATATCGACCAGAGGTCTACAATTGTGAAAAATCGAAAATTCTCCAAAAAATTCACAAAGTAGCACTAGGTAAGCTATTAACATAAATGCAATTTTTACTTCGATACGATAATTATTTTCCACGTACGGGGGGGGTTATTGGTTTCGCGGCTCTCGGACCGGGTTTTCCAGGCCCGAGACCACGTGTCGCAAAAAAATCGTTTTAAAATTCAAATCCATTGTAATGCAGACAACAAATAACTTACTCAGGAGAGTTCTTAATTGCACACATTCTAAGTGGTGATTTACTCAGTTTCAACGAAAGTGTAATATTTTGGAGATTTTTCATTATTTTCAATATTTTGAACGTTTTCGTTCAATGAAAAAATGGCAAATTTCAAAGCCCAAAATCGTCGACTGGTACCTCGATTTCAGTAATGAGTCTAATACCACGTTAAAGAGCGTTATCTCTTCTTTCAAAATCTGTTTTCAAAACTACGGGCAACTTAAAAGAAAATGTTTGAGGCCAAAAAATACTAGTAGTACTTTTCTGAAATTTGAGCTTTCCAGACTCAGCGGGTCGATGCTAAAAACTCAGAAAAATGCAATAAGAAATCAGTTTGAGCAACAGCGATTTAACTTTATCAGCTATCAGAAACCAACACGTGTTTATCGAGCGATCTGATAAAATTTAAAGCCGTTTTCCAACCAGAAAAGCAGAGTTTAGCCATCTTCTGCTACCAAACGCACGAGTCACGTAAGGTTGTCAAAGGGCAAAGCACAATAATAAACTTCAAGAAACACAACGTTTCTGCGTCCAGGAAGTAGACTTTAGCGGACAGAACAATGCCTACGAGTGTATGTTTCATACCTTAGCATGGGGTTCCTAGATACTGGAAATAAAAACCATCAAGGTTAGCATCTGCAAGATCATCTTCGGCTGCTCTCAAACGACGGAGATTGCGTTACTTTTCACAGATTGACCGCTTACCACCTGTTGTTGGGCTCGCATTTCGACGGAACGCTTGCCTCGAGAGGCGCTGCACGGATCTGAACTCTTCTTCACGAGACATTGAGCTGAATTTATCGGAAATATGCCACCACCACCAACAACATGAGCTTTTTTCGGGTATTTGTCGTTTTTTATGCGAAAAGTTCGGGTAAGCAGATTCTCGCAAAAACCATTTGGCTTAAAAAATGTGTTTAAAAGCCCACCCTGGATTTGAAGCAAAAAGTATTTCCTCGAAATAAGCTAAAAATACCCAATTCACGCGGTGAAAAAATGGATGATTATGGAAGGATTATCGAATTCTTGCCTAACCTGAGCGATTTCCCGTGATGTAGGATTAGGGCTAGGAAAAAAGCCCATAACCTGCTCCTGTCGTTGTGAATTTCCTCAAGATCAAAAATTTCAGTAAGAACCGAAAACAACAGCTTAAAGGAGGTGCACACACCTTGAACTAGCCAGGGAAAAGGTTCTTCTAATTGAGCTAAACTGTCATTGATGCACGGTGCAATTAGGTAGACCTGTTACTATCCCCCACGCAACCACATGGGGAGTACTTTGAAGCGGTCCTGTCGGGGACTTTCGGGGGAAGGGGGCAGGGCAAATCGAAAATAACTCCTCTTTGTTTTTGTGAAGTACATCATTTCTCGCATGGTTGACAAGGTGACGGCGGACTCCGTACCTTTGGAAAGGCCCTTTTGAAACATGTCCTGGCAACATGCAGGGCATCACGAAATTAACGTCAACACCTTGAATCAATTGCAACTCCATGAACAGGGAGAGGCGATAAGTCCCATCTTAAAAGATGCTTGATGTCTAGACGTGAATAGTCTGTCCACAGCCATTTTTCATTTTGTATTTCGGGACCATTTGACAGCGTGCGAGTGAACCGGAGCGCAGTAACGAGCCCTAACCCCACCCCATTGCCCTTGCGGTCAATAAATCATCGCGTTTTTTTTTGTTTATGCACGTTCGAGAACCTCCAAAGGGAATATAGAGGGTCTTTGTACAGTTTCAGTTTATTTTACCGACAAAAAGAACAAAACAAAGCAAAAGACAAGTATACAGAAACACGCAGAAGCAATGTGGTGAGGAAGCCCAAAAAGAAACCATAAGGCTTAGGTCATCCCTTTTCGTTCGTTTAGCGTCGAATAGGTTTCCTGGTTTTGGGTGGGTCGGTCGGTGGGGTGAAAGAAAAATCACAAGAAATCTGAGAACGGGAGGCCTGAAACACCAGCATCATTGTCGTGGAGACTGAAAACAACAAGACATGGTCACCAAATCGACACAAACTCAATATGGCAGAAAATGTGATGGTCAATTTCATAAAAAAGGCCCAAAAAGGGTAAAAAGCAAAGAGGATACACCACCGAACGTTTTATGCCTCGAAATGATGTTATAATGCCAATTTTTCAGATTAAAAGAATTAATCCAAGTCCAAAAAAAATAAACCTTGTCGTTTCTTTTTCTTGCTTTTTTAAAAAATGCCAAAAAACTGGGTCTTTTGGACGACACTAAACGAAGAAAAAATTAATATAGGTATTAAGCTCCCTTAAAGTATAAAAGTATAAGTTTACAAGGACAGGATCGAACGTATACTGAGTAACTAAATGATAAAAATTTGATCAAAATTAAATGAAAGGCTAAGAG